AAATACAAACAGAAAAAATAGAACAGGTAAATGAGTATATCTATCTAGGACAAGCAATCAGAGCTAACAGAGAAAATCAAAAAGCCGAAATATCAAGACGAGTAAGAACGGGATGGGCAGCGTTCGGCAAACTTTCTTACGTTCTAAAAAATCAAACAATCCCTTTATACTTACGAGGCAAGGTATATAACTCCTGTATAAAACCGGTGCTCACCTACGGAGCAGAGACGCACAAAGAGCGATGGAGAGACAAATGTTGGGTGTATCACTCAGAGATAGAAAACGTAACCAGTGGATCAGAACCAGAACAAAGACAGTAGACGCGATAGAGCAAGCAGCAAAACTGAAATGGAAATGGGCTGGACACAATGAACGTCTCCAAGACGGACGATGGAACAATGGCATCTCGGAAAGTGGCGCAATAAACACCTTCTTCTCGGAAAGTGGCGTCCATACAATGCAAAGAGATCAAGAGGCAGACCACAGATGAGGTGGAAAGATGACATCAGGAAACAAGGAGGTCCCACATGGCAGAGAACAGCTCAAGATAGGGAAAGATGGAAAGAACTGGGAGAAAACTATATCCAACAATGGAAGGATAGAGAATAGGTTAAAAAATAATAATAATAGATTGGACAACAGCCATACTACACTGAATATACCGATTTTCGATCGATCACAGAAGTCAAGCAGTGTCGGGTGCGGCTACCTCTTGGATGGGTGACCGCTTGGGAACACCGCATGTTGTGTTCCCAAGCATTCTTGAGTGACATGTTGTGTTCCCTAAATAGAGAGCATTGTCAAAGGACATTTTGGATGAATGTGCATCGTGAATGGAATATTCGTGACAATCAAAAATATTTTTGGAGAATTATAATTCTATTGCCAGAGTGTTCCTTATTTAATAATTATTTGCTGCGGACGAAGTAGGATTGGATGAGAAGGACATTCGGATCATCATAAATTTATACTGGAACCAGCGTGCTCAAGTCAAGATCGAAGACCAGCTGACCGACCAAGTGAAGATCATGCGAGGAGTAAGGCAAGGATGTGTGCTATCGCCGACTCTTTTCAATATATACTCTGAGAAGATTTTTAATGAAGCTCTCACAAACCTAGACATGGGAATCCGAGTGAACGGTGAATACATCAATAATATCCGCTACGCCGATGACACTGTGTTACTAGCAACCAGCCTAAACGATCTGCAGGCCTTACTAGACCGAGTGTGAACTGTGAGCGTAACATATGGACTGAACCTCAATATTAAGAAAGAAAACTAAATTCATGGTTGTTAGCCGTACAAATTTAGATCCCAGGGCACTAATGGCAGATAGCGAAAAGATCCAGAGAGTCGACAGATTCACTTACCTCGGAACTACCCTCAACTCACAAGGGACTACGCTCAAGAGATTAGATCCAGAATTGAAATGGCACGGTCTACATTTATTAAGTTGATATCCTTGCTGTGCTGCAGTGACCTCAGTTTGGGAACCAAGATGCGGATAGTGAGGTGCTACGTTCTTCCAGTGTTACTATATGGAGTTGAAGTCTGGACACTGACGCAAGCCAGTGAAAAACGAATCGAAGCCTTCGAGATGTGGATATACAGAAGGATACTAAAATATCTTATGTGGACCATGTCACCAACGGTGAGGTCCTACAGCGCATGATAAAAGAAAAGAAGTGCTTTTTTTGTGTGTTTTGTGTGTTTTGTCATTCATTCATTTTTGTCATACTTAGCAAAGTCGACGTCATTGTCCTTGCTAAGAGACGCTAATTGTAAAAAGAAGTGCTTAATTTAATTAAACAACGTAAGCTTGAGTACCTCGGCCACGTGATGCGGAACGAAGAAAAATTTCGAATTCTTCAACTCGTTATGCAGGGTAAAGTATTTAGCAGAAGAGGACCGGGACGCCGTCGTATCTCGTGGTTGAAAAATCTCCGACAATGGTTTGGGATGACCTTAGCAGAGCTGTTTCGCAGAACAGTCAACAAAACTATGATAGCCTTGACGATTGCCAACATCCGGACCGGATAAGGCACTGAAGAAGAAGAAGATGGTGTTTATTCCAATATTTGTTAATATCTCCATCAGCTTGTCGTGTTTTACAGTATCAAATGCTTTATGGTAATTAATGAAGCATGCATAAATATTGCAATTCACATCTCTATATTGTTGAAATAGCATTTGTGTGCTAAATATAGTCTCTCACCTACCCACTGCGTTCCGAAAACCAAACAGTGTACCACTGATTTTTTCTTCGCATAGTCTATATAATATCCTTCGATGTATGATTTTTTAAAATAACTTTAAAATGAGTCTCATTAAGCTGATGGTCTGGAAATTATTGTAAGATACGGGTTGTGTTTTCTTTGGTAAAGCAATAAACGTTGAATTTAGCCATGATCTTTGTCTTACTCTTTTTAAATATATGTCATTAAATAGTTTTGCTAGTCGTTGAATACTATCGGTGTTAAATAGCTTTATAAGTTCAGCATATGCATTGTCAGGCCCAGGAGCTTTGCCACTTTTCAGTTGTGATATTGTTTTTTCCACTTCATCTGATGTTATTGGTAAGTGGTGATTACATATGTAGGACGGAGGTTGTTCGAACCTATTATCATCAAAGAGTTCTTGTATGTATTTGGCCCATATGCATATTTCTTAATTTTTATCTGTAACGATGTTTCCATGTTGATCTTGCACTTTGCTAGCAATGTTGGATTTTCTAAGAACAGCTGCTTGTTTTACCTTTTTCACATATTAAATGTATTGTTTTTATTCTAACAACTCTATCCCTTCATAAGTTTCCAAAGAAGACTTAAAACTTCAGCGGCCTTTATTGATCTCTCGGCAGCTTACGATACAGTATGGAGAGAGGGCCCTATACAAAATTCTCCGTGCAATCCCCTGTAAACAAATAGCACGTTTAATAGATAGCATGCTCAACGACCGAATGTTTCAAGTAGTGATGGGCACAGATATCAGCCCACCAAAGAAATTTACGAATGGCCTACCACAGGGGTCAGTGCTATCTCCATTACTATTTAGCTTATATTTAGCAGATATGCGAGAAACACAATCAAGAAAGTTCGGATACGCTGATAACTGGGCCCTCACTACACGATGCAGAACACTAGAAACATATGAAGAAGTTCTGACGGCAGACTTATATAAATATATATTGAGCAAATATTTTCGCAAGTGGCGGCTTCAACCAAATGCATCCAAAACAGAAGTAAGTTGCTTTCACCTGAACAATAAACTTGCTGGAAAGGAACTCAACATACGGTTTGAAAATACCACACTTTCCCATAACAAAACACCGAAGTACCTGGACGTAACACTAGACAGAACGCTATCATTTAAATAGCATTTAACAAAAACTGCCCAAATGTTGAGTACAAGAAATAACATTATACAGAAGCTCTGCGGTACCACCTGGGGAGCAACGGCTTTCACTCTCCGCTCTACTGCTTTAACCCTTGTTTTCTCGACCGCTGAATATTGTGCCATAGTTTGGCTACACAGTCCACACGTAAAAAAGGTCGACACTCAGCTGCACAGCACTATGAGGGTGATAGCTGGTACAATTAAATCAACTCCCACCCAATGGCTTCCAGTATTAAGTCACATTCCACCTCCACATTTACGATGAGTTGACGCACTTACACGTGAATACAAAAAGATCATGAACAATATAAACCTGCCGATCCACCAAGATACCGAGGATGCACGAAATACCCGTCTACGTTCTAGAAAACCACCAATGAAAACGGCAAGAATGATACATGAGGAGTTCAACATTACGAATGCATGGTCCCAAGAATGGAATGCATGGCAAAATAACATGCCCTGCATTACTCACAAGCCACCAGGTTTTGATCTTCCACGTAAAACATGGTCCACTCTAAACAGGATCCGAACGAGACATGGCAGATGTGCATATATGCTACATAAATGGAGAAAGAATCCGTCTCCTCAATGTGACTGTGGGAAGAACCAAACGATCGATTACATTATTGAAGAGTGTCCCTCAAGATCCTACAACGGTAGCCCTGAAAACTTCCTGTTTGCAACTTCAGAGTCAATTGATTATGTTAATACACTTGATGTTTGTTTTTAATTATTTAAAGTTTGTCATATACCTATATTACTAGTGTTAATTTTGTTCATACTGTGTTGTAATTGCCATACGATAAATAAATAAATAAATATCCCTTCATACTGTGTTTTTTACTAATTTGCTTTGGCCTTTCGTATTTCTGTTCTTATTTGTCTCTGAATATTTGTATACCCTCTTTTGTTATTTTTGGATTTTCTTCTTTCTTACGTGAGAGCACTACATTGTCATTCATCCAACTTTTTCTCTTTGGTTTATTTTCTATTAGATGTTCTTCTCTGATCTTGTTAGAGGTTTCACATATATTCTGGAGTGATTCTTCTGGATCATATGATTATACCATGTTACTTAGCTATTCTGAAAGAATCCGTTCGACTGTCTCCTTTGTTTCCTTATCTTTTAGTGTTCTCATATCACATTTTTTGTTACTGTTCTTTCTTGTAATCTTTTTCATGGCTGTAACCGCCTGTCAAAATTCTGAAGTCTCTATCGGAAGCCCCTGTATCTTATAAACTGCTGTTTTTAAAGTCTAAAACTTAATTTAGTTTTAATTATTACTATATATGTGATATTATAATGTAGCGTCGACGGTAACGGTAAAATACGCAAATATATTTTTTAATATTCTGCTTACATAATTAGCAACACTTAAATTGGTTGTCTAGTTACTCCCAACATAGAGGATCTTCATGAGTTGGAGTTGGCTGAGCGTAAAAAGCGGAAGCGGCATGCAATTAATCCAAATAATAGACGGAACCAGCGAGGGGTCGAAGGGGGGACACTCATCCAGCCCATTGGTTGGGAGTGGGATATGATGTGCAATTGTTCTCTTTTTTTCCGACTGCAAAATACACGGTAAAATAAAAGAATAGGTTTGGTTTGGAATACAATAGTTGGTGTGTGCTGGTAATGAATGGATTTTACAAAATCGTAGAAAGTTTGTTAGATTGTTTGTTTTTACTTGGTATCTGTGCGGAGTGTAACAGAAATCCGTGTGTACTGAACTGATATGGTAAGTTTATACTTACTTTAACAATTACTTGTTTGTTAATGCAATAAAATGGTTTTGGGAGGCTATGTTTTATTGTGTTGACAAACACAAAAATGTTAATTAAACACTTAAAATACAGTTATCATCAGAGTAGTATTTTACATAAAGCACTACTGACTTCGGTTTTAATAATCATAATAGGATGTTATAGTAAAAACATTTTCCCACAATAAAATTCCGCTTATTGCTACTAAAAATATTAAACTATAAACAAAAACGTAGACGACTATTTATGGTAGGGTAGATACATAGTAAAATGTAGATTATTGTATATTATGAAATATGGTACAGGTTATTTATTCTCTTGGGACCTCGACATAACATGATATTTATTACGACTAATCTAGTTAAATAGTCTATCTACCTATAATAGCCCAAAATCTATTCATGTGTTGAATATAGGCCTCTCCCATTTGTCTCTGTCTTCTGTTTGTCTTTTCCACACTGGACCTGCGCTTTGCTCAATGTCATCTTTCCATCTCATTTGCGGACGACCTTTTGACCTTTTTACAGTATATGGTCTTCAGCGGCCAATTTCTTTAGTCCATCTTCCATCCTGATATCTTTCGTTATGCCCAGTCCATTTCCATTTTAATTTCAATGCATGTTCGACAGCGTCTGTTGTTTCGGTTTTGCATCTTATCCACTCGTTTTTTTCTCTCTCAACGATATTCCCAACATGTGTCTTTCCATAACTCTTTGAGTTTTCTTTATTCTATCTAAGTTGCTCTTGGAACATGTCCACGTCTGGGTACTAAATGTCAGAACAGGTAGGACGCATGCAATAAATACCTTCGTTCTTAATTTTAAAGGTATTCTTTGGTTTTTGATAGTATATGAGGGTTTTTCGAATGCAGCCCGCCCCATTCTTATTCTTCTGGATATTTCTTTAGTCTAGTTACTTTTGTCTGCTCTGATAGCTTGTCCTAAGTATTCTTGGACGTGTTCTATGTTTGTTCCACCTATGGTAATTACTGATCTGTCTTTTGTATTAGTCATTATTTTAGTTTTCTATAGATTCACTTTTAGTTCTTTCTCAAGAGATGTTTTTTCTAGGTCTGAAATCATTATTCGTAGTTGTTCCATAGTTGTTGCTATCAGGAGTACATCATCGGCGAATCCTAGACGATTTCAATATTTCCCGTTTATACAAATCCGTTTATTGTCCCAGTCTATAGATTTAAAAATGTCTTCCAACGCCAGAGTAAATAATTTGGGTGAGATTGTATCCCCTTGTCTGACACCTCTACAAATTCTAATTAATGGAGTTTGCAAATCTCTCTCTAGTTGAGTTCTTATATTCTCATGGCGTTTTGATATATATATATATATATATATATATATATATATATATATATATATATATATATATATATATATATATATTATATATTATATTGTGGATTAACATTCTGTACCGTGAATCTATTCGGCAATTAACTAGTGCTTCTTCACTGCCCATAGTTCTATGCTGTCAAACGCTTTTTCATAGTCAACAAACGCTAGATATATTGGAATGTTGTATTCGTTGGTCTTTTCTATCAATATTTTAAGAGTGTAAAGGTGGTCGGTTGTTCTGTACCCCTTTCTAAATCCTGCCTGCTCAACTGGTTGGTATGCATCAAATTTGTTGTTTAGTCTAGTTGTGATCACCTTAGTGAAAGATTTATAGATTTGTGACAAGAGAGATAAATAGTAGAAAGTCAAAATTTCTAGCAAAAGTTAATCAGCTTTTCTAGCTTTCTAGGAGTTTATATTTTGGCGTTTTTGTATAATTTGATGTCATACTAGTCTATAATCGTGTTTTTATTACTTAGTTACCAACTACGCAATAGTGTACTTTATTCCCGCGCGGGCATAAAGTGTACTTTATGGCTCGCGCGAGCGTAAAGACATAAACAAAAAGATAACTTATTAAAACATCTTTATTTAACAACATTTCAAAACAATATTTAGAAGTGATATAAAACTGGCGATTCTGAAAGGATCCGCTTTTTTTTTAATTTGGTTAGGGATCTCAAAAATATCTTGCATTTTCACGGTTTTAGTTTGACACGTTTGACAGCATTTCCGTAGCGTAGCAAGATAGCACGGACGATAGAATGTCTACTAGTAAATATATCGTCAAAACGAAATCAAATTTTGGATTTTTTTGGAACATATTTATTTGTAGATGCAATAACGAACTAGCATGACATAAAAGTTAATATGCACCGCGGGTATTAATAGATGTACATGGTTTTGGCAGCAGCAATACGTAATTTTGTTTGGTTAATCTACATTTTAACAAAATAAATTTATTGTTAATATTTTTTAAATCGGCTTTTCTAATTATATTTCTTCAGAAATGGGTTATATCAATAATAATCGCTTTTAGCGATATGCCCTGCTTAAGCGTCTCCCGCTAGGTATTATTTTGTCTTTTTCTTTTATTCCTTCTAGAAACTTGTATTCTTCGTATCAGCATCCAGATGCTAATTTTTTTTTTGGGGGGAGGTGAGAATCTTTAAAAGACCTCTGGAAAGGTGTCCCAGGTATGTTGGATTCGAACGACTACGCCTCACCGTAGTTGACCGCCTACGAACAAAACTCACCCCTTCTTTCTCCAACCCACGGGCCTGGGACCACTCTTAGGCAAGGCGCTCACCAACGTGGCAACCAAATGGCGTGGCAATGGCGAACAAGTATTGTGGTGTCCCAGTGGCAGGTAAAATGTATAAACATATGTAGTCGCACGTGCGACCTTTCGATACGTGCGACTACATTATGTTTATAAAGGTTTAACAATTCTATCTGCCACTGGGACACCACAGCACTCGCTTGCCATTGCCACGCCATTTGGTTGCCACGTTGGTGAGCGCCTTGCCTTAGCGAGCATTACCATCTGACCCTGTCATCGAGTGCCATAGTCGCAAGACTAGTACGCACTTTGATGCGCATCGCCCCGCCTCGAATTTTCCCATTGGTTCTTGACCTGGATATACATAATTATCGCTCGAACAGCGGATATAAATATTGGCGATTTTCAGGTCAACGAAGTCAACGGGCTTTCCGAGAGCTTAGTGCTCTTGTGGCTCTGCTTCCTTTTTAGCTTTCCATGCTCTGAGGCTGAGATTTTGTTATACTATAAGCTTGGTGTTTTATTTCGACGAAGAATATTATAATGTAAGAAATATCTCATCTTTCTCAAGACAAGCCATTAGAAGAGAAATATACTAAATATACTACTTACCCTGGAAATGGACTTAAGCAGAGGAGCTATCGACGACATTTCCGAAGCCCTCTACAGAGCACCCGAAGGTATCAGAAGGTGTATAGACTACTTCCATTTACCCCCGTGACAACCCGTCAGCTTTGCTCATAAATCCCATCTGTCGCTATCCGTCTGCACTCCGTGATTGCCATAGAATTCCAGTCGTGCCACCCCACCCATGTCTGCACCCGACATGGTTTGTAAGGTAACCGTCTTTATGCAAAGCGATAGGCAGAAAGAAGTGACCGCGCCGTTATTTCAACCATCTTGAACTAGATGCGACTCCAGATATTCATATTCCACCTCCGGGCCGTGGTCTATTTGTCACTCCACACCGCACACTAGATACAAGTAGGAACCAAGACAACATGTATGTAAATTGACTTCTGTAATGTAGTCAAGTTCTTTGAGAATTCACTTAAGACTTCGTCGTTAGTAGTGGAAGCTGAATAGTTTCTCTACTGACGCCGACAGATACGATGCATTAAAATAAACAGTTCACCTTTATTGCATACGGATATTCGGGCATACGAATACCACTTGATGCGCGTCATCCACCACTCCACACTCAAGACACAGATCGTCCTCGGTCTGTCCTAGATACTTAACATGCTCTAACCATCTTATAAAAAGACAGAACGACTTTTACTGACCGTAAACAAAAAGTGATTAAAAACTTAAAAAACGGTTTTTTCAACAAAAAAAAAAAAACGAAACACTAAAAAAGGCTAAAGCCAACCAAAAAAACTCTAAAACCGAAGAACCAAGAAAGGCCCACATCTTCGACCGAACTGGACCAGATCTTTGCGATCTAAACTCCTCAAATCTTTGCGATTTGGTGCTCTTTGTTGCCAATTTTTCGTGATACGCCTAATATCGTCAGCCCAACGTGTAGTTGGTCTTCCTCTACTACGTTTGTCTGCTCTTGGCCTCCAATGTGTAATTTTACTCGTCTATCTTGAGTCATGCATTCTCGCTACATGGCCTGCCCAATTCCATTTAAGTTCTGCTATCCCTTCCGCAACATCAGCCTTCTTTGCTGATCTTCGTTTCTATATTCGGTCCCACAACGTCACTTCCAGCATAGATCGTTCCATTGGTCAAATATATTTTTTTTGAGGCTAATTGGTATGTTGGCCCTAAGAAGGTGTTACAGTTTTCCAAAGGCTGGCCAGGCTAAAGTAATTTGTCTTTGGATTTCGCATGTTTCGTTATACCTGCTGGTTCTTATTTCGTGACCCAAATATATATATTTCTCCACCAGTTCTGGTGTATATTTATATAAATTCGAAATGCTCGTTTTATTTAAAAACGGTACAATAATAATACGAGACAATAAAATACAAGTAAAATACATAAAAAGGCACAAGAAAAATGTTCAATAAAAGTTCAAAACTTCACAGCACTGAACTACTTACAGGGGAGGTCGATGGTGATGACGGTATCTCAAACTTCTGCAAGTTCATCCTCGGACGGTGTGCCAACTCCTCCAACGAGTTCATCTTCTTCTCGGTCGTCTGGATCCCATCTACCATATCCGACGCAGTTTCGTAGGGTACCAGTGTACCGAAGCCTACATGGTCGTCCAACCACTTTCGACAGGGGGGCGATGACTGTGTCTACTCCGGGACTTTCATCGGCATCTGGGGCTTCCAACTTCGAAGAAGGCTGGATCGTCAAAGGCGCCTGCACGTCGAAGGCATCCGGT